GCACATGAGAGTAAATATATGACACTTGTCTGTCACTTCCCCTATTATCCTCTCTCATTTTACCCTACTGTTAAGTCCTTTCTCCCACCCAAAATAGCTCCCTTTTTACTTCCATGTCTTGCAGACTTTTTCTTAAAATCTAGATTTTTATGTACCTATGAGAAAAAGGTATAGTTTTTATCTTCAGGAAACTGGCTTGTTTCAATTGGTATAATGACCTCAAGTTCCATCCATTTCTCTGTCAATGTTATAACTCCACTTTTTTTTTTTCAGGTAAAGAATACTCCAGCATGCATAAGTACCACACTGTCTTTACCTGTTCTCTGCTGAATGATATATAGGCTTGCTATATAGCATGGTTCTGGTGAACACTGCTGCAATGAGAGGGGATGTCCAGGAATCTCTGTGATGTGTTTATTTTGATTTATTTCAGATATATACCCAGGAGTCGGTCATATGTTAGTTAGATCATATGGTGGTTCTAAGTTTTAGGATTTTTAAAAAAAGAATTCCTGTACCGATATCCATAGAGGCTGCATTGACTTACAATATCCCCACCACTGTATGTGGATTCCTTCCTTTACCTACATCCTTGACAGATGTGATGGACTTTTAGCGGTTCTTGCTTCTTAAGCCTTTCCCACTGTTTAGCTGAGAACCAGCCATGCTGGTTTTTCCTGTAGAATAGATGCTCTGTTGGCTTACCCAAGTTCTTTCCATCATTTTCCCTTGTCAGACTGTAGATAGGTTTTTATTATTGCTTAAATTTATTGATTGCTTTCCCAGACACTAAATCAGTCCTTTGTGTTATTTGGAGCAAAGCAAATCTTTACAGCCCTTTTCATAAAAATGTCAGCACTGATTATTAGCTCATATGTTCTAGAGATGTCAGATATTAGTTACAATTGGCCTGGTTTCTGTTGTCTTGTGGGCAGATTTGATGAGCCGAACCAGTCATACCTTAGTCTTCAATTATGAAAGATTGCTAAACACTCTTCAAATAACAGCATCTGCTTCTTTGCAAAGTTGTGTTGGTATATTTGTAATTTAATATGGAAAATACAGGTGCTTTATGAGGCTAAACTTGAATGAAATGTATTACTCATTTATGGAACACATGCTCTTTTGATTTCATGTATGACAGCATGACTATGTTTTCTTTGAGACGTGCCACGTTCACTCATCTACTTTAAGTATGTTAGTAATTTTCAAGAGGAGCTTTGTGAAGAAGTCCAAAGGTCTTGTCCTTATAAACACATATTTTTTGAGATGCTTCCAGCATCATTGTTCTTTTACATTTTTCTCCATCCTTTCTATTTGTTATTTATTTGTCTTTCTCATCATGTATCTTGATCCCACTCAGTCCCCATCCCTTCACATCTGCTGTTCACCATAGCACCCCTCCCCAAACAACACAAAATTGAAGAGAAAAAAAGAAGAAAATCAAATAAAAGATAAATAGAAATAGGGAAAAAAAAAAACTCATCATGGAAGCTACAGTGTGACTCAACAAGTCCTGCCGCATACACCTTTGTCTATGCATCTCTACTTGCAAGTGTTTATTGTAAAGAGTCATAGGTCTGGTTCAAGGCCCCTGGTCTCCACTAATTTGTTTGATCTTGGGCCCCCACTAGGACTCTTCCTGAGTATCCTGCTGTTGTGTGGGATTGTGGAGATCCTGCAGCTTTGGATCTGTGGATCAAGTCCCTTAATGAACTCCAGCAGACCATAGATGGGGTGGATGTTGGGGCAGGCCAAGTCATAACCCTGGGTCTGGGCCTGGGCAGCTGTAGGGTTTGTCTACCAGGTGGAAAATGGGGACAGCTCTCCCTTGGTCACAATTTCGTGGCTGGCTCTCCCACACTGGCACTAAAAGGGTTGGCTCTATTGTGTTACCCTGGCCAGGTGCAGGACCTGCTCTCCCAAGTATTGTAGCCAGTCGGGGGTCAGGGATGGCTTTCCCACTGTTAGGACACATGGTTAGCTCTCTCACCTGCCTCGGGTGTTGATGGGGTGGGGTGTGTAGGCAACTCTTCTCTATCCATGCCACAACAAAGCTGATGGGCAATGGGGACAGTTCTCCCATGCTCATGATTTTGGGGTTGGATCATCCACACCTCTGCTAACAGGGTAGGCTCTATTGTGCTGCCCTGAAGGGGTGCAGGGCCTGTTCTCCTGAGTGTTGCAGCTGGTGGGGTCAGGGACAGCTCTCCCACTTTTATGGCCACAGGGCAGCTCTCCCACCTGCCCCAGGTATTGATGGGTATTGTGGAGAGAAGGGAAGGGCAGCTCTTCCTGTTTTTTACATTTTTATTCTTATTTATTTATTTAGTTTTTTTTTTTTTTTTTTTTTTTTTTTTTTTTTTTTTTTAAGAGGGGGTTTTCCCTGGCACTCCCTCTGTAGACCAGGCTGGCCTCGAACTCACTGAGAACCACCTGCCTCTGCCTCCCAAGTTCTGGGATTAACGGTATGTGCTACTACTATCCAGCCTCTTTTACATTTTTATTAAGTGTACAAATAAACAGTTTCAGTAGCATATACATATGTACATATATATGTGTGTATGTATATGTATGGATGGACACACATATATAATTATATTTCGTTCACATTTTCCCTCTCATTGTCTTTCTATTTCTTCCATTTCTTCTCATATTGGTCCCTTCCTATGTTCCTTAAATGCTTCTTTCTGCTTTTGTGTCATCTATGCATGGATGTGTAATTAAATCTAGAGTCTACATATGAGAAAAACATGCACTACTTTTCTTTCCTTCCTTTATTATCCATTCTTCTCATTTCCATCTATCTTTAGACCCCTTCATCATGTGTGTGTGGTGGAGGGGCACACATATGTGTGTGGAACATAGCTAGCCTGTGATACTTGTCTTTGAGTTTGGCTGATTTTGCTTTACACAAAGGTCTTCCAGTTCCATCCATCTTCTTGAAAATGGCACAATTTTAGTTGTTTTTTCTCCTGAATAAAACTTCATTGGATATGCATACTGCATTTCCTTTTTCCATATTTCTGTGCTACAGTGAACAGACCTGAATTGAACATGGATGTGCAGCATCTCTGGTGTGTGCTGCCTCGAATTCCCCAGCTCCTTACTTATTTGAACACTTCTCTAGATGGAGTCACTCCTGTTCTAGCCTATCTGTAGTATTTTTGCACATTTGTTCACATCCTTCCTGCTACCTAGTATGAGCTTGCTTTTTTCTTTATTTATTTGAACCACCTGTCTTTCACAGATTGTTTTATTTGCTTGTAACATTTTTATTGAAACATAATCAGAGGAAGAAAATAATATTTATTCTGGGGAATAACAAACTAATATTTTAGAGTCAGCTATGTGGGAGTAGTATGATGGTGCTCCCATATTTCAGGAAGCTTACCTTGCTTCCTCCTGTATCCTCTTATTTAAGAAGAGCATCAAGCTGGCCGTGGTGGTGGTATATCTAGAATCCATCATTTTGCAAGTGGAAACAAAATGATCAGGAGGTATAGAAAGTATTAATTCTATAGTGGGTTCAATGTCAGCTGGGATACCTGAAACATTATCTCAACAAACAAACAAACAAACAAAAGACATAATTTTGTCATTATTATAAACAGTCTCTTCATGATTAATACACATGCCACCTTTAACATTTGGATCATACTCCATCTGGTTTTAGATGCACACAGAAATATATGTGACTTTTAGTTCTGGAGCAATGGCAGGCATATTGTGAAAAAATATTGATATTTATTAAAAATCAAAAAATTCAGTAGATACTAGTGTAGAGAAGAGCTGTTGCTAAATATTGAATAAAAACATGTCCACCAATACAGAGTGCCTGGGAGAGAGAACCTTAAACAACACACATTTGTTTTTAGGATGAATGTAGCTGTCTCACATGGCTAATTATGCTAATATGTCTTCCTTTTTTCATACTCTTTAGGGGAGAAACAACAGGAAAATGAAAAAGATGTTTTATAGGAAATAAAAAGTGTTCAGTACTGTTGCCTGATTATTTAGTTTATGACTGTTTGCACTGAAATTTAAGAAATTTTTTTTTAAACTTTGAATACTTTAACTTTGCTTAGGAGTCATTTCTGTTTAGGGTCTGGTGCCTAATTACAAGGAGTTCTAAGACATCAAGGGATATGTCAAAGGGTACATCAGACACTGATGTGACGAAGATAAAGGTGTTCATGACTGGGAGTTGATTGAATTGAGATTGATTGGTTAATTGGTACCTAGCTAAACAGGCACCATTTATCTAATGGAGGATTGTGTTTGTTATTGTAAAAATTATATGAAGTTGATGTTTGCCATGTTCACACCTTTTTAGAGGTGATTTAATTTTGTAGCATGTTCCTAAGGACTACTTTTCTACGTACTCCTTGTCTTGATTTGAAGCTGAAATATTTTTCTGTTCTTATTAAATTTATTGGTTGCCTTCCCCATCGTCTGGGGTGTTTAACATTTTATCATAAGAAAGGATTATCTTGTTGACCCTGCAACTGTTTTTCCAAAAGTAGAACAGTACATCATACTGAGACTACTTTAACACTCTTTACAATATGAAACCCGCCCAAATTCCATTTGGCAATCTGCTCAAGTGGTATAATTTAAAATTGTGCCTAGAATGGATAAAATCCCGAACAACTCCATCTTAAAAAGAGGTTATTTTCTTTTCTCTTCACGGATTGATCATTTGCAAGGCACCTTGGGGTTTTCCTCCTGGTTTTTAACCCTGAAGTTTAATTGTTAACACTAATCCAGGATGGAAAGCTTGGAATTGGAATGGAGGTTAAACTAGCATTTTATTTTTGAGATGACAGCACACAGAAGTAGAGGAACGTGTGTCTTTGTTGATGAACTTTAAGTTAAGTCTCACACATGAGCAGGAGAGCCTCCAAGTCAGCGCTCTACCAAGCCAGGTCCTGAGTGCCAAGTGGGGTGACTGACAAATGTCTCTGGCTGCCATTCACGCCTTTCTTTTCCTCTCCTAGGTGTTGAAGTGGGTGGAAGAAGCAGTGCAGGCCTCCAAGGTTCACCTCTTATCCACTGATCACGTGCAACAGGCTGTCAACACTTGGAAAATTCCTTTTGATCCCAGCCTCAAAGAAGTGACCGTGTCCCTGAGCGGCCCTTCCCCTGTGATTGAGATCCGAAATCCTTATGGTGAGATGAATCAAACACTGATTTTTAAAAATGAAGAACAGGGCCGCACACGTTTTGCACACTTTGTCAATGAATTCTAGCTTTATGAATAAGTTCAAAGCATTCATAAGTGACTGTAGAAGGTGTCTGAAAAGGGAGTGTCATTAGTCTTGAGTGTTTTTTGAGTCAACATGAGGATTGACAGGTTAAAATTTCTCATATTTAAACAAATTACAGTCATGAAATTTACTGAAAAAATATTTGAATATTGTATTCCAAGTAATGCCATAAATGTCATTATTTCGGTACTGGAGGTTGAACCCAGGATCTGAAACATGCTTATCTAGTGCTTTACCTCTGAACTATGTCCTCAGGCCAGTGTTTTAATTTGCATATACTTTATAGTAATTTATTCTGTAAAATTTAACATCTTATGTTAAGTTTTCAACGAATCACTAAAATAACTGGTTCTAAAAATAACTTTTCACTGTCACTGTCTAGAAAAGTTTAATTTTAAAGAACATAGTCTCTAAAAGTCAAGTTTCATGGGCAAGGGAGAAGGCTCAGTGGTTGATGCGCTTGCCATAAGAGCTGGAGGGCTTGAGTTTGAATACTTAGAATCTACATAACATACCTGGTACAGGTTGCATATGACTGCAATCCCGGAACTCCCAGGGCAGGATGGGAGGCAGAGAGGAGGGTACCTGAAACCTTGGAGACTGGCATGAGCAGCAGTGGGAAATAACACGAGAGACACTGTATCAAAATATCAAGGTGAAGGCTGGAACTAACACCTGAAGTGGCCGCTGATCTCAACTTATGTGCCTATAATCACCTGCAGACACATGCACATACATCACACACACACACACACACACACACACACACACACACACACCCACACATTCAACACACACACACACACACACACCAAACATACATACATGACACACATACATCTCTCACACAGCTACATCTCTGTCACACACATGCACTCCACACACATATATCATACACACATATAAATACATCACACACATATACACACACATCACACACATACACACATATGTCACACACACACATACACAACCCACAATACATCAAAATACATCACACACATATATCACATACACATACAAACACAAATAAATAAATTTAGGCTGATGTTGAGATTCAGTGGTAGACTACTTGTCTGCTATGTATAAGGCTCCCACCTTAATTCCCATACTGTCAAAGAAATTCTATTCTTAGTAGGTGAATGAATGTTTTAACTTATTTTTCTCTCACTTGTATTTTATGACAAGATTTTCTAATACTACTGCTGGTTGAAAACGATGACACTCACATTAAAAATCTGAAAACAAAGGAATCTCAGCTTTTCTCAAATTTGTATTAAGTGTACCTTCTGGCTCTCATGAACTAGTTCTATTTCCACCGTGGTTCTGGTTATCTGACCACATACCTTTTCTCTGCTTGTGAATATTTACAAAGTGGAAGGAGGTCACTATATTTTTATTTGCATCATAGAAGCAAATAATTCTTTTAAGACTGTGAAATAATTCCTTCAAGTGTATGAAATATTGCCCAGAGTCCCTCATCCATGCTAGCAAAATACTGGAATTTACAAAGAAGTAAAGCCTCCTTTTCAAGACTTGTGGAGATCTGGTCTCAGCAGGGCATTTGTCTGTGGCAGCCACATTCTGTCCATTGGGATAACTCCAATCTGCCCCAGAAAGCCATATTTATGTTCTGCCCACTGGAATAATTCCCATGCTGTCTTGGAAAACTGTCCCCACGTTCACCCACTGGAATAATTCATGCTACCCTGGAAAGCTGTACTCATTGCGTCATGCTCTTACTACTCTGGGCTTACAATCATGGTCAACTTTTTGATTATTTAAAATACACACCTGAGTATATAGTCCACAGGGAAGCCAAAGGTGAAAACCTAGGGATCATTTCCATTTTATTTCTTTTTCTCCTTAGATCCCAACTAGTGGTTATTGGAAGTAAATTTCAGGCAGATAGGAGATGGTCCATGCATTTTGTCACAATGCTATTTTAAATTATCCTTTGAGAGGCACTCTTCTCCTGTCCTAATGGAAAACTGCTTAAGGTCTTGCACTTCGTGCAGAGACTGCTCAGTATGCTCACATTAGTAGCATCTGCACTGACCTACAGAAAGACCTGTATTCTGGTTTGGGTTCTGCCTTCATTCAATCTACCTGTCTCTGGTGACTGTGTGTGACCTCTTAGTAACATGACAATTGTTCTCTAGGCTGCCTTTAGAAATAACACGATGATTTACCAATTGTTGTTCTCACTTTACTATCAAACACATAACAAATGAGGATCTGTTACTTCAGTTGCAGTGCCCAGAAGCCTACAATTAAGTATATCTTAGATACCAATAAGACAATGTTTTGAGCTATGGATACAAATATCTGTTAAATAATATATGCACCTACTTAGTAGAAAAAAAAAAAACCTCTCTGTGTTATTGGAAATCTGATCATATGCCGGGGCTTGTTTATGTTTATTTGCCTGATCTCTTTAACTGGGGAGAAAAATTATGTTTTCTACCTTTGTTTTATCTTTCAGGGAAGCTGATAAAAAAGGGATTTGGCTTGAATGAGCTGTTAAATATCCATAACTCTGCCAAAGTGGTGAATGTCAAGGAGCCAGAAGCGGGAATGTGGACAGTGAAGGTACTGTTATTTCACAGTCTGTTTGTTATTTTATGTTTAAGCTGGCATGCCTTGTAATGTATATAGAACAGCTTATTTATATGTTCTTGCAATCAAGAAGAACACTTTTAATGAAAGTACATGTGTGGGAGGTCTTTAGCACGTGAGCTGGGTAGTGTTGTTTTGATGACCATGAACAACGGTGATGTTCTGGAATAAGAATTAAAATTCTTGGGCAGTTTTCCTATCATCCAATCTGTGGACTCATGGTACCATCCATTTCTTGCTTCCAAAGTCAGCAGACATGCAGCCAGTGGAGAACAATGGTTAGGGCTGTGGACTGCCTGGGACTAAACAAAACTCACAGGCTGGGCTGCTTGGGAGCAGAACTTTGATATCCCTTGATGTCCTTTTCTGTCACATGAGGAGGTCACTTCTTTTATACCACAGGGTTGGGCTGAGATGAAAGTAGGTTCATATATAAGAAACAGTGCAGTTTCACTTACAAGACAAGCTCTCAAGAACTGCTGGCGGCTACTATTTGTTATATAAACAGTCATTGTTTTCTTTGCTGAAAAATAAAACCAAAAAACATTTGCTTCCTTGAGTTATCTGAAGGGCTATATAGTCAATATGGGGGCAAGAATGTAACATACAGTCAAAATTCAGGATACTGTGAGTCAGAGATGTGACGTTGCTGTGGACTATGTGTGTAACTGGCTGTGGTGGGCAATCTGAGCTACTGCCAGGGTTTCTCAGACTTTTCATTATGCTCTGGCCTTCTTCCAGGTCAGGTGTCTGTGTTTTTATTCGCAAGAGGGTTTCCCCGAGAACAGGAAAAGGTTGTTCTGCCGAGGTGTTAACACTTCTCAGAAGCAGCTTTCAAACCATCAAGGCCTAAACTCATAAACTCGCCCCAAATGTTCACCATAGGAGCAGGCTTAACAGAATGTGCCTCATTGCTGTGTTTTTCTGCACCCTTTCCCCTCTTCCCAGAAACACTCTGAGCAGCTACCAACAAATCCCTTGTTCCAGAATCCTTGTGAGGATACCTGAGACAATGTTTTGGTCTTTTATCACCTCAGCTTCCTTAGTAATAAAATGGGTTTCCTGGGATGACCATTCAAACTACAGGGGTGTGTGAACAGGCCTGGGGGCACAGGAATTCAAGGCAGATTTTCCATGCCAGGCAGAATTTTGCTTTTCAAAGAATATGTACATTTTCTCATTTTAAAGAAATTACAGTTTGTACCATAACTCCCTTCAAGTGCCAGAACATTCTTTATGCTCAGAGCTCTATATCCTGTAGGAAAACTATAAAGGGATAGAATAGATTTGGGGAGTAGATGATCTGGAGTGAGAGAACAGGGGCAAAGGCAATGTAAATACAATCTGGCAATTTCTCAGTGATTGGGTCCTAAATGGCCATACCTGTTCCTTTGCATACAGTAGGTGTGCAGTATGTATTGGATGCCTTGATGGCAGCAATGAAGTGTTTTTCTACTATGGTATTTTGAATAAACATGGCTAAAATTGATGTTAGCCTTATTTTGATCAGTGTGCTCAAAATGTGACTCAGGCTGAATCCACTTTTATTTTTGCCACACAGAAGAACTATGAGAGTCTAGTCTCTTAATCCCTCAAATGATTTAATATAGTCATGACCTAAGTCAGAAGTTCCCTACGTTGGCAGTTGGGTATTCTGTTGTCACTTTCTGAATCATAACAATCAGGTATCCTTTGTTGTCTGGGAGATATATGCAAGTGATACCATTTTATTACTAGTCTATCCTGTGGCATTTGAACCTGTTTCCAGGTGATTTGGATTGCTACCCATGGTTTTTCCTCTAATAAAATTCTTGCCTAGAGGAGTGACCCAACATGACTGCAGTTAGTCCTGTGCTTGACATGTCTATTTATTCAGTCGTCAATTTTCAGTGTTTGCTTTTGGCCACATTTCATACTCCCTGCTTAGTGTGCACTGAGCACATTTAAATGATAATCGAAACAGAGGCGTTCTAAGAGTTATCTTGTAGGCAAAGAGGGTGAGAAAAAGATGATGAGGCAGTAAAATCTCTGTTTAGACAAGTGTCTAAGCTTGGTCTGCTATAATTAGGAAAGGCATGGTATCTATTAGCACATTGCCTGAAATTCATTCTAGTCCTCATCCAAGAACCTCCACTCCTGCTCCACATCATTGCTGACTTACAGTTAATGGTAGCAACAATTAAACAAAGCATAAGCATTGAAGTGCAAGTTGCAGATAATAAAATTATTTTTCTCCTATAAGAAATGCCAGAAAAATATATCAACATGATACAAAATAGTTAGACCTACTGACATAAATATTACTACTGACATTGGGTCTCCCTTTTAGACAGCTGGTGAATGACAAATGTTCTACATGTGTGCTTTCTCAAGAAGAGAACGGAGATTAGATAGTGTATCCTGCATGCTATCTACTTTGCACTATCTGGAAAGTGTCTGCTCTATCAGACGAATTAATAATGACTTCTAAATGTTTCAAATAACACTTTATTCCAAGTATGAAAAAGAATCTGTTTTATGGCCATACAATGTTGGAAGACCATGAGATTTGGCCTCAACCACTCTTCTGGTTATCTTGTATCACTTACATTTATACCCTAGTTAAATTTAATTATTTAATTTTAAGCTGTTCTTATCATTCCCACTTTTGCCTCATGTCTTTCCTTGTTTTTTTTTAGGCAGGGTCTTTGTTTGGTCCAGCCTACTAATCCGGTTCGTACCTGAGAAGGGGAGTGTGGATTGATGAAAGAAATAGGCTAGAGAGAGAGAGAGACAGAAGATGGAGTCAGGAGGGCACCCAGTGAATACTGGGATCCGCCCTAAGAATATTGCTCAAAGTTTTTATATATCCCAAGCAAAAAGGGAGAAAGGCAAAGGGAATTCCTTACCAATGATACAAGGAACAAACAGATGTAATTACTTCCTTAATTCTCAAAACATTCAGTAATCATGCCCTATTGCTAAACATCCCACCATTTGACCTTGAGGAGAAAAACATCTAGTGACCACGCCTTAGATCTAACACCCTGTTATCTGATCTTGAGGATTAAGACATTTAGTTACCATGCTGTAAATAAAGTATTCTGTTATCTTGGCATGAGATCCAGTGGCCACACCTTAGTCCTTCAGTAGCCACACCTTAGACATTTTGGTTTTAGGCCTTTAACCTTGAAAGAGCAAGGATAGGTTTGAATTCTATGACCTTAAATCAGTATGGAGCTGAGCCACTTCTGTGGGCCTTGAAAGGTCTTACTATGTAGGGCTGGCTATCCTGGAACTCACTATGTAGACTTGGCTGACCTCGAGCTCATAGAGATCTGCCTGTTAGGGTTCTTTAATGTCTACACCCAGATTTAGTTTTTCTTCTTCTAGCAGTTCCTTCTCCCTAGATTGCCTTTCCTTTCACTCTGACTTGTTACTATCCCCCAAGATTCGACTCAAATGCCAACACTTTCAACAAGTCTTGGCAAATGTGGCTTAAAATACCACCTTTTCCTTCTGGCTCTCTACATCTCTCTTAGATTAATTTTTCTCTTATGTCATATTTATTTCTGTAGAAATTTTTTCTCTCTAATTATTGTGATTAGAGTTTTATCACCAGAGAGGCCACAATCCCCAAACAAAGACTACAGAAATATTCATGAATAAAAATTAGTGCTTATAGCTGGGCAGTGGTGGTACACACCTTTAATTCCAGCACTTGGGAGGAAGAGGAAGGCTGATCTCTGTGAGTTCGAGACCAGCCTGGTCTGCAAGAGCTAGTTACAGAACAGGCTCCAAAGCTACACAGAGAAACCCTGTCACAAAAAAACAAAACAAACCAAAACAAAATTAATGAATGAATGTTTACTCTAATAATATCTAAGAAAGTGGCAGATTTAGATTTAGTTAGCCTACAGCTCATAAATTGGGATGGGAGACTTTACTATAGCTATTATTTAAATGCTATTGGAATAGCTCTTCCATTTCTTTTGGGCTTTCTCATGCAAACACTTTACTGTGATGTTTTGGGGCCCTCTTTTTCTTTTCTTTTCTTATTAATTTTTTCATAATATTTTACATACCAACTACACTTTCCCCTCCCTCCTCTCTTCCCATTCCTTCCCCCACCTCCCGTCTACCCACCCCTGCCTCCACTCCTAGGTTCAGAAAGGCGAACACCCATGGGAGTTAACAAAGTGTGGCATATCAAGTTGAGGCAGGACCACCCCCACCCCCCATCAAGGCTGGGTGAGGTATCCCCAGTATGGGGAATAGGTTCCAAAAATCCAGCTCAAGTGCCAAGGACAGGTCCTAATCCCACTGCTAGGGGCCCCACAAATAGACCAAGTTTCACAGCTGTCATCCACATGCAGAGGGCCTGTGTTGGTCCCATGCAGGCTCCTTAATCCTTGGTCCAGAGTCCACATGCTCCCACTAGCTCAGGTCAGCTGTCTCTGAGTTTTCCAGTCATGATCTTGGAAGCCCTCCCACCCTCATACAATCCCTCCACTCTCTCTTCAAGTGGACTCCCAGAGCTCAGCCCAGTGCTTGACTGTGGATCTCTGCATCTGTTTCCATCAGATACTGGATGAAGGCTCTCTAGTGACAATTAGGTTAGTCATCAATCTAATTATAAGAAAAGGCCAGTTCAGGCACTCTCTCCAATTGTTAGGAGTCTTAGCTGGGGTCATACTGGTGGATTCCTGGGGGTTTCCCTGGCACCAGGTTTCTCCCTAATCCAAAAATGGTTCCCTCTATCAAGTTATCTCTTTCATTACTTTCCCTGTCCATCCTACTCCCAACTCGATCAACCCAATCTGGGGCACTTTTGTAAATAGATAGAGTCAACTCATTTGTCTAATCATATGAGTGATGTAAGTGTTTTAACTTGCCTCTGATGTAGGTAAAACATACTGAACAGAAGTTACTGAAAAGAATACAAAATTTTATTAAAAACAGGAGAGAAAGCCATTTTATGCCCCCAAGTTTCCATTTATATGGAAACTACAAATCCTGGATCTTATTTCTGAGAAGCAATATGAATTTTCCATTCAAACAGCTGTAGCTAATCTATAGCTACATAGAATAAGTCTATTACCACTGAAACTCCTTGGGCCAAGTTTCGTCTCCTTCTCCTTAAGGAAAACTCCATATGATGATATTAAATAATAGATTTAGATAATACAGATGTTTCTATTAGCCTAGGATTATCAGTGTAATCATTTGTAATTTTACACATCCCCTGGGGTATGTTTCCATTAAGTAAATATGGATAAACTGCTCCTAGATAATCCCCGAAGTACAGAAGAAAATATTTCATATCACATGACTGTATTGAGATTCTAGAACTGGAAGAAGCACTTTGGTTTAGATAGTTACATTAATTTTCAGTGCATACTAGTGCATTTTCTATAGGACAATATGGTTGCCTAAATAAAACATGCACAATGACAACACCGATTCACAAGGCTCTATCCCTAGATGAAGAGCTGTGAGCAACTGTATTTGTATCAACACACACACACACACACACACACACACACACACACACACACACACACACACACACCACTAATAATTCAAGAAGATGTAATGAGTTTGAGACATGGGGGGGGGCATTAGAAGAATTGGAGCAGGGAAGGGAGGAGCTGAAAAGATACTCATGAATGAAATTTTCTAAAACAGATTTTTAAATGTAAAAAATACTCTGTTCCCTACCCTTGTATTATTTGGAAATTTTATTGAAGTTCAATAACTGTGTGTCTTAACTACTTATGATTTCATTATTAATCAAATACTTGTACCTTAATTTTTGCTGACATCAAAGAAGCCACTATGCAAACAAACTTTGTAAATGATTTCCATGTGTTTATCTGTATAACTGCATAAAATTTACAAACAAGGATATATTAGTGTCTTAAAAGTATTGTCACTAGAAGAGTGTATTTATTAAATTTTGAGTGTTTTTTAATGAAAAATAGTGTATTTTGCAAACTACAGTATAGTTGGCAGAAGAGTGGTTATGAGTCATTAGTAAAGCACTCTCAAGTCTACAAAGATCCACAGGAAAGTCCTTCAATTATCCTCACCTGGTGGCCTATGCATGTCTGTAGACAGCTCTACAGCATTAACTTAGTGTTTGGACATACGATGCATTTTATCACAGCGTTTTCTTAGAAAACTATCCAGTTATTTTGGCCTTCCAATATCAAAATGTTGTCTACATGGAATGCCTTTGTTTAAAAAGAGATCTGTTCATTTGAAAAGAGGTAAATTTGTATGCATATAAATGTGTGTGTTAAAACTGATTTTATTCTATGCTTAGACTCCATTTCTTTCCTTGTTGCCATAGTCATGCAAAGAGCCAATGCCTAATAGAATGGCATATAGAATGAGCTGATGTGGGATGTCTTTCTGTAGGCTGAGAATATGTGTTGCCTTTATTGGTTGATGAATAAAGCTGTTTTGACCAATGGCTTAGGAGAATTAAGCTAGGCTGGAAATACAAACAGAGATATATAGACAGAATAGGTGTCTAAGAGACACCATGTAGCTTCTGGGGGAGCAAGATGCGAGGTAACAAGCCATAAACCACATGGTAAAAATATAAACTAATAGAAATGGGTTAATTTATAGTTAGAGCTAACCAGTAAGAAGCCTGAGCCATTGGCCAAACAATTGTAACTGATATTAAGCCTCAGAGTGATTATTTCATAAGCAGCTGCGGGGACTTGGTGGGCTGAGAGAAAACCAGTTCAGTGGGACCAGACGGGATAGATAAAAGCTTTCTGTCTACAGTGAGCTGGCATTACTCTGTGTTTATGGCTGACACCATGCCTGTATCACAGCAGTTCTCAATGAAAAATTGATGAAAATAATCATCTTTAGTTGTGAAAGAATGGCATCTTATTTAAGAGCAAATATTTGAAAAGAGGTAGATATCTATTTTAGTTCAAGGTCCATGATTCATTATCTTTGTGATCTCAGAGTATTCCTTAGCTTTGTAAAGTCTGTAGAAAATAATACTTAATACTCTCATGACTGAATGATATATATATACATATGTCATATATTGTATCTTCATTTGAATGCATATATAATTATGTTGTAGGTTTTGTTTTGACTTTAGCTTTGAGTAAATTTGTTATCTTATGAAAAATTACAACTCTTCAGGAGCAGGAAATGAAGTCTATCAATTAAGTTTTAATCCAGATAGTGCCACTAGGAATCTTCACTGGCTTAATATAAAGAAATTATGTTTTCATTAATATTCATGCAATTTGACAGACTGCCCTATTTCATGCGTCACTTATAAACCTTGGCTGATGGGTGGTGTTCTACTCAAATTTTTAGCCTGTAACATTTTTATTCACTTTAGCAGAAGAAAAGACAGCAGAATGTACATCGAATGAGTAAAAAGAAGGGATCTGTTTCAATTTAGAAATGACACACTCTCTCCCATTTATAACCCATGGACCAGAACTGGCCCTGTGGTCCTATACATGCTGCAGCTGGCTCTTGGTGGTTCATGGAAAATCAACCATACACTTACCTTGCTCATTATGCTGAGTGACATCAAGTTGGGATTTAGATATTAAAATGTTTGGTGTATTAATCTATTTTTTTTAATCCAAAAATATAGAGCTTCTTTCTTTTACAGGAAGGTTTATCAATACTCTCTGATTCTTTTAGCAGAAAGTATCATTAGAAACCTGCAATAGCTATAGCAAATTTTGAGAATAATATCATCTTCTATGCCTTATAACGTCTAAGGCTATCCAGAAATGATTATCATAAACTCTTATACTTTAGAAGGAGCACTGAAATTGGAATAGGTACCATTTGTGTCTATTGAGTAGCACTCTGTATGTAATGGATGTGCCTTGTTTGTTTCCTGAAAGGGCCTTAAACATAGGTAGGTATTTAGCAAACCATCACCCTTAAACTAGGTATATCCATCTGCAATTCACCTAGGTGGCTAGAAAGAACTGAGCTAAAGTAAGTCTTAGGAGGAACTCACCACTATCCCTGGAACTCTCCATGGTGCTTGCTCTAGTGCCCTTCAGGCTCTTCCTTCATTCCTGGCAATCCTCACTTGAATTCAGAAATCTAGACTCCGATCCACTCTGCTCCTTCATTTTTACAAATTTTCTTTTAAAAGAAATGCTATGTATTCACAATTCCAGGGCACTGGTGTGTCTTTATCATCAAGTCATCTTTACCAAATGCTGACCTTGCCTCAGCTGCCCTGGGCTCTAGCCTGAATAATTTGTTGTAGGTGTATGTGTTGGGGTAAGACCTTGGGTCTTCTTTAAGAGAAACTGAGCAGGAAGCAAATGCTAATTCTTAATAGATGGTGCTGTACTGTAGTGAGAAGCTGGGACTTTGCCATTGAATTACAGCTCTGTCTCTACAGTTAGCATTTGGGCAAATTGTTTACCAACTTAGTGCCACAAAGTCTTCATCTTTATACTGTGGATGATCACGTTTCTTTTAGAAGATCACAATAAAATGGAATTAATGGTGGAGTTTAAATACACTGGGTCCACAGGGAAGATCCATCAAAGTAGCATTAGTATTTCACCTTGGGAACTAAATCCAAATTATTTATTATTTATGTACATGCTCACTACTTTAGTGCTTAATTTTATTTGGTATTTAGTCCCTTTAGCTGAATAGGCTAACTCATCCTTCTTTTGTATATTTCTATCACTGGGTTTATTGCATTATATTAAGCATCCCCACTTTTCCATCTCTCTCCCCCAGCAGTCAGTGTGTGAGCTCCATGCTTTTCTCACATTTATAGCTCAGCACCAGGTACCTTTGCTAGAATACTGCTGGGCTGAGGGTTCCAGATGGTTAAAATCTGGAAATTTTTCAGCTCTTGTACTTATTCTGGCAGTGACGTCACAGAGGCAAAGAAAATGGGAAAGTATATGTATACCTAAATATATATGTATGATCTGCTCAGTTCATATAATGTTACTTGTATGTGTATTATTAAGGAAAAAGAGTTCACAAATTTGAGAGAGAGCAGAGAGAGGGAGTACATGGGAGAGACTGGAGAGAGGAAAGAGAAGATTATGTGATTGTATTTTAATTGAAAATTAATAAAAAAGAAAAAAAACATTTTTCCAGAACGGGACTTGCGTGTGTTTTGTTGGGGAAATTTTAGTTTTTTATTTCTTCGGTGTCTGTTGAGCATCAGTAGGGATGACAACAGAGAACAAATGAGAAGTTCAGAAATTGATGGAGCTTTTAGATTTACTATAAGATTCACTTATTAGCAACTGAATATTTACCTTTGACTACAAGGTATGCCAAACTTCCTGAATTATACTTAAGAGCCATCTACATCTACTAGATTTGCATTGCAAAACATGCATTTCAGAATGGAAATCACAATCAAGTTCAGACAGAATACCTTAATTAGAGCCGTGACTCTGGCCCATCAGTTGCAAACATTCTGTGGTTTGCCACACCAATGGTGTTTCCTATAACCAGCTGCTGACGAGGCTTGTTGTTATATGTTTTAGACCTCCAGCAGTGGAAGACACTCAGTTCGCATTACTGGTCTTAGTACTATCGATTTTCGAGCTGGCTTTTCCCGAAAACCCACACTGGACTTCAGAAAAACAATCAGCAGACCGGTACAAGGTTGGTATGCACATGGCTCTTAAGTTGGTGTAAAGGAAATCTGTGCCTCAGCTGGGGTGTGACTGCTTTGGTCCTTAGCATTTAATCCCCTGACAAGGACAGCATCTTTCTTTAACATAACTGTGATTATTTCTTCATGTTTTGCAAAGTGTGATCCAAAAGCAGATGAAGCTCAAAGGGCTTTTTAAAACTTAAGACTCCCAGGCCCTGGTTTAATCTCCTGAATCAGAACTGCAAAAGTCAGGGTTTAGGAATATGAGTTTTAGGTGAACATTCTAGTTGCCTTTTAGACATAACTACATTTAGAAAAGTACTTTAGTGATTTTTGTTTGTTTGTTTGTTTTTCGAGACTGGGTTTCTCTGTAGGTTTGGAGCCTGTTCTGGAACTCTGTAGATCAGGCTGGCCTCAAACTCACAAAGATCTGCCTGTCTCTACCTCCACCTCCTGAGTGTTGGGATTAAAGGCATGCACTGCCACTTCCCGGCTCTTAGTGAATTTTTAATATCAATCATTTATAAACTGTTTTGTGGAGATGAAGTACATATATATTGCTGAAATTTAAAGGTACTATGTATTACTTTATGTTCAAAGATGAAATTATTAATGATTTTTAAAGGTCGTTCTTGTTCCAATTTTGTTTACCCCTTAAGGTTTGTTGTTTTACCGGCAAAGCTCAGCCATTCTGTGACCTTTCAGCGTCTTTTTTTTTTTTTTTTTTTTTTTTGATGGTTGCTAACTTATCTTTATTGCTGCAGCTTTGTTGTTTTTGTTTTTGTTTTTGTTTTTTTCGAGACAGGGTTTCTTTGTGTAACTTTGGAGCCTATCCTGGCATTCGCTCTGGAGACCAGGCTGGCCTCGAACTCACAGAGATCTGCCTGCCTCTGCCTCCCGAGTGCTGGGATTAAAGGCGTGTGTCACCAATGCCTGGCTTGCTGGGTTTTTTTTTTTTTTAAAGATTTTATTTATTTATTATGTATACAACATTCTGCTTCCATGTATATCTGCACACCAGAAGAGGGCACCAGATCTCATAACGGATGGTTGTGAGCCACCATGTGGTTGCTGGGAATTGAACTCAGGACCTATTGCTACAGTTTTAAGTAAGGACAAAAAAGTGAGTCTTTAAAAGTAATCTCATAATCAACTACCACATAATTCTAATTTTCTCTGTGAGAGAAGAGTTAAAACACTGTGAGATAATCACACAGAATGTCCCAAGTGTCTGTCTTCACGTGGAAAACATTGTGCAACTGGACCATCAGTTTCAGAGCATTGTACCCTGCTCATCCTGACAGTGCATGGATGCTGCTATACTGCCACAGTTGTTTCACAGACGACCCCCAATTGGGTGCCACTTATAAATGACAATATCTTTCTCTTGTAGGGATACCTACCTATGTGCTACTGAACACTTCTGGAATCTCCAGTCCAGCTAGAGTAGATCGTCTTGAACTTCTGAGTATCTCAGGGGGGTCTCTTAAATCGATTACTGTTAAACATTACCCAGATCGAAAACCTTATGGCATCTGGAATATTTCTGACTTTGTTCCACCAGATGAAGCTTTCTTTCTCAAAGTGACAGGCTATGACAAAGATGGCTATCTCTTCCAGAGAGTGTCAAGTGTTTCCTTTTCCAGCATTGTTCCAGGTAAGGCAATGTTTCATTCGGCACTGGAGTGTTGATAGCTTAAGGGGACTATGCCACCACTAAAAACTGGACTATAAAGTAAAAGTTAATATCCTCGTGGTGGTTACTACTATGTTGCAAGGTTGATGAGCATTACATGCAGATAACTTGTTTTCTTTTTTTTACTTTTATTTTTCATTCTGGTGTATCATATGTATTAGTATTTATTAACATTGAAAATATATAAATACATCACTGCCTGTTCCCTTTTGTTCCCTCCAACTGTTTGCATGTTCACCTTTACTTTTTTTCTCAAGTAGATGACCTCTTAAATACAATCTCTGAGTCCATTTATTGTGGCTTTGGTTTGTGTATATGGTTTCAGGGCCAATCACACTGTATTGTATTGGGGACTTATCTCTGGGAGAGGTTAATTCTCCATCTCTTAGCAATCATCAGCTGCCTATAGTTCTTTGTCTATGGATAGGATCTAGTGAGATTTCCCCCTTCCAAATTAGCATGTCTATTGATATTGCCATTATTCAGCTCTTGCGTAGGCAGCCATATTGTTGAGGTATCATTGGTGTAGCTTTCCTGTCATTTCTGGGAGACACATTCTTACAGCAGACTCCCTGGTGTTCTAGATTTTACAGTCTTCTGACCCGCTCTTCCCTGGTGTCCCTTGAGCTTGGGGTGCAGGCACTGTGCTTCTAATGCATCCTTTGGGGCTGGGTTCCCACGCTCCATTCATCTACACATTACAACCAGTTGTAACTTTCTGTAATGGTCTCAGTTTGCTGCAAAAAGGAGCTTCTTTTTTTATGTAAACAGTTTTCTTTTTCTTTTTGAGATAATAATTTAATTGCAACGTTTCTCCCTTCCCTGTTCTCCCACGAAAGCCTCTCTTATGCCCCTCCTTCTCTTCTTCATATTCATGGCCTCTTTTCCCCCACTGTTATTACATGCATATTTAACTTTAAAATAATACTTCCAGAGCTTTATGTTGAGTATTACTAATTGTAGACTTGAGAATTTGGCAACTTTAATCAATGGGGAATTGTACTACCCTTTTTATCCTCCCCTATTCTTCAGTTATCTAAATTGGCTAAACATTTATATACAATGGCCAAGCACCATCCATTCCACAAATAGTAGAGGACTATGAACAAATGCTGATGGTTCTATGTTGGAATAGTTGGTTAGTTAGTTTCTAAACTAGTTCCTGATGCATCTCCTATTATATAAAGATGTGGTTACATGACAGGAATGATTTGGGAGCATCTGTTTATCTCTACCTGAGAGATTTTGAAATGATCTCTTCTGATTAAAACTTTAGACATGTAGCTTCACTCCTGCCCTACAAAAGCACAGAGAGATTGTTTATAAAGCTGGGCAGGAGCCAGCAACTTATCTTTTATGTATTAGGTTGAGATTTGGAAAATGAAGAGCTATTGTTTAGTGGTCATCATGAGCACAGAACCAACCTCAAGACTTCCTCATGTTACCATTCAAGGGAGCTGGCTTCACCCCTATAGTGAATGCATGAAATTTGTTGGATTCTTTAAAAAATTCCTTTCATTATTCCTTTTAGGAAAAAAATTACCTTATGTTCTAAGATATGTGGATTCTTCTAATATTTTTACATATTTAGAATAAGAATTTATTCTACGGTTGATGATGTAATGTGGATCATTTGATATTTTCTTCTAGCTTGGTAGTGGAGAGAACTTTGGATTTTAAAGTCAGTGGAGACTTTAATTTGATGACTATTATAGTGAAGGCCTGTGGTGAGATCCAGAAATGCATCTGCTTTGAATAAAGATAGTTAAACTAAATTTTGCAATGTGGATTCATTGTAATGTATCAGAATCACTAAAGTGTAATGCTTGTGGGTAGATTCATAGAAAATATTTACTATCGAGGTGATTATCTTACCTGTGTTCCTTTTTTTTCCTAGACGCTCCCAAAGTTACAATGCCCACAAGAACCCCCGGATACTACCTGCAGCCAGGCCAAATCCTCTGTTCGGTTGAGAGTCTTTTGCCCTTTACTTTGAGCTTCATGAGAAACGGAATTGCACTGGGAATGGACCAGTATCTAAAGTGTGTAAATGTTCCTTTCAGTAGTAGTCTATAGTAGTAAACATGGAAATACAATTCTGGGCTCTTTCCCTGACAAATCACTTACTTCCCTTTCCATTTTGGAATACAGCACTGAATAGGAGAGACAGAAGTCTGGGCCTTGGTAGAGCTCCTATTGGAGTGGAAGGAGACAGGAAGCAGATAATAAATACACCATGATGATATAATAAATTGTACAATGTATTCCATATAATTCAGGTTTTATAGAGTCTGGGTTTTATGTAATTTGGAGGTCCCAAGTTAAGTCAAACAATACCAGATTATGAACTCAATGTTAGGTAGCCGGCTTCAGAAAGCACTTTGCAAAGTTGAACCCTGAAAACTTTTGCTTCATTGAATTTGGGCTAAAAATGTCTATGAGTTTTCCTTAAAGTGTAATATAATAAGTGAACCTGATGGGTTCACTAATTAATTAATTAACTAATTAATTAGAAATAGTAATACTTGGTAGGTTATTAACATATAGCTTTTCAATTTCAAGTAGCAAATTCAAAACTGGATGAGAAGCTAGGAGTGACAGCGGAATCTTTAATTTCAGTACTTGGGAGGCAGAGGCAGGCAGATCTTTGAGTTTGGGGCCAGACTGATCTACAGAGTGAGTTCCAAGCTAGCCAGTACTACACAGAGAAAGTCTATCCTGAAAAGCCAACCAACCAACCAACCAACCAAATAAACAAACAAAACAACAACAAAACAGGGTGAGAGGCATTTGAACCTCTAAGGATGTCGAGAGAGGTCATATCCTGAGAGATCGAATATCCTGGGAAATTTTCACACATTAGTAAATGGAAATGCACTAAGGTCAAGTGGACTGGTCAAGAAAGGGAAGGCAGAAATGAGGTCACTGTGTGTGGATCTCAGCCAGCTCCAAAGAGAAGGGGTAGACGACAATGTCTTGGAGTTCCTTGTGTGCTGAGAGTAGAATGGCATGGCTCACCAGGAGCATGTGTGGCTACAGAATAGAGAAGTCAACAGGAGTTGGCTAGAAGGCACCAATTCTGCCTTCTAAAGTTGAGTCACCCTTTTTTTTGATAAATGTAAATAATCTCACTGAGAAAGATTAAGTACATCTTGAAAATATGCTAGAAAAATTATTTCTGGGAAATGTATTGCCTTTTGAGTTACTATAAAACCTGACTAGATTTAAGAGTAAAAATGTCTAAGAATTGCCTTAGCAATTTTTCACACTGTTGATGCAATATCAACATAGCTCTACAAGATGTTAACTATTTGACAGTCTTAATTTATATAATCCCTTTATGGAGGTTCACTTTAAGCAATGCTTGTGGCTGGAAAGTTAATCATATCTAAAAAGTTTTCCATTCCTTAACAGCTGCCTGCTCCATACATAGTACATCTTGGTGATTTACTTAGTTGCCTGTTTTATAACCAGCCACATAACAGAGCAGGATATCAGATGATGGGGCCACATAACTAGCCGATGAAATAAAATAACTCTGCTTCCTGTTTAAATAGTGACAGTTTTCAGAGACACTTGAGATTCTTTATAAACATTAACTCATTGATTCCACACAATTCCTGGGAGGTAAGCCACAAAAATTCATTTTCTCATGTTTCCAATGCTGTGGCCCTGAGATGGGACAGGCCTTGCTGACATGGATTAAGCTGTGAGTGATGACAGACTTATACTCTAATCCCAGTTCACTGGCATGCCTTTGCCATAGATTCCCAGTAATATGAAACATGGGACTTAACCTTCTTTTGTGTCAGCCACTTTGGCCATCAGGGAAAAGTCAGTTTGCATTTGCAGTGTACACATCTTTTGGACAGACTCTTTGACCTGTTCTAAAGTTCACATCTAGAAACTGTTGTCTTTATATTGGTATTTAGAATGCTTATGCCAACTGAGAAGGCTACAGTAAAAAGAATTACTAAGTCAGACATATTGGCAAGTGCCTTTAATCCCAGCACTTGAATGGCTTAGGCAGGAGGACTACAAGTTTGAGGCTGGCTTAGCCTACACAGTGAGACCTTGTCTCAAAACCTTTGTATTTCCTTCTAGTAGAAGTTCATAAATAAGAGGGCTATGAGTCAAGTATAGCCATAAAGAGTATTCTTAAAGCAATCAGTGAACCTATGATGTACCCTTAGATAAATAATTGTCATTCCACTTTTCTTTTAAGATGAAGAACTTGAGGCTACATCAATTTTCATTTTCTGTTCCAAAGTTTTCATGAGCCCAAGGTTTGATGAATCCTAATATATGTTCAGCTCTGAGCTCAGCATTGCAGAGAATACCTAAGATGTAAGCAATTCCAAACTACCTTCCTGGAACTAACAGTGTCTCCTAGAGAAGGGAATTGCAAATTTGTGCTTAGTACACCACTGTAAAGTGTTGGAGATACAGCCTGAGTGTCCAGGGCAGTGCACAGTTAAGTGAGACTGTTTCCTTCTGAAACTAACGGGAAGGGCCACTGGCACACAGTTCACACAGGAAACATTAGCTGAAGTATCCCAAGCTACAGAACAATGTATACAGAACAGTGGCAGCTTAAGTACTCACAGTCTTGATAAGAACCTGTGCTTACCTCACTGCTCCAAAACCTATACCAGAGCTGAACATGAAATGAGATCTCAGGAAGCTGTTCATGGTTGCTTTGTTGAGTTATGTCTGAGTGGGGAGAAATGTCGAGCCTAAACCGCAACCAGAATTCATTGAGAGGTGTCCTGACTCTGTGGAGCTCTTCATACTTTACATGTATCTTCCACAAAAGATTATGAATAGCAATAAGAGATAAAATAGAGAAATGTCAAGTATTTATATTTAAATTATATTTTTAAGGGATTAAAGCCTACTTTTGTAGACTTTGGACTTTTAAAAGCAATAACTAGATATCTACTTTTTAGACTGTCCCAGAATGTGAGGAGTAATTTTAGCAGTGAATGAATTAATATTTGTTGAATGGATGGATGCATGAGTTTGTCTAGAGAACTAACGTATTTTTTTCAATTTTCACAGTGTTTATTTTATGTATAGGTTAATCCAGGTACAATACATACTTCTAGGTGTAACTTACTTAAGAAAAAGTGAAGGAAAATATATTTTCTTTAAGTAAATATCTGCTGTGTTCTCCTCACATTTGTAAATTACCTTGTATCATTGGTTTGATCAGGATTCTCAGCTCTAAACTGGAAAGTACAGGGGGAAGGGAGATATTTCTCCAGTGTGTGCCAACTCAAGTATGTCTTTCTATAGCAAGGTAAACATTCCTAAAGATAATTTTTTGTTCCTACAGCTTATTGTCTCCCATATATTTTTCTCGGAATAGAGAAGCATAATTCTGTTTAAAATATAAAAGGTGCACCATCTTAAGTTAAAATTTAATCTGCAGTTTTCACAACTGACTTTGTTTGCATTGTTCAGTGGAATAAATTCTCCAAAAACAAATCATTGATTACTGCTTTCAGTTTTCTCCTGTTTGCGGACACTGAAAGCCTTCTCTTCTCCTGTCCCCAGAGAATCTGCGAGTGTGAACTGGGATTTCCAAAAGGTCGAGTTGTCTGACGAAGGCATCTACGAATGCATTGCTGTGAGCAGTGCAGGGACTGGGCGGGCACAGACGTTTTTTGATGTATCAGGTAACTCTCACTGCTCTACGAGTGTTGCTATGGAAATGAGATGCTGATAGACTCTTGGGTATATGTATCCAAGTTTATCCACAAGTGGCATGCATGGCGGCAGAACAGGAAGCTGTAAGCACACAGCAGGGAGCAAACCTGAAATGACAGACAGGAGTGTTTTAACACTGAAAGCCCACTCCCAATGGCACACTCCCTCCAACAAACCCAGACCTCCTGTCTCCTAAAACGGCATCACCAAGTGGGCACCAAGGTTTCTAATGTGTGAGCCTGTGGGAGACATTCTCGATCAAACCACTTCAATAACCACATCATTGCCCTTAGAGAAAATATGGTGTAAAGAATGGACCTATTCTGAGGGTAACAAGGGGAACAAATGTTTCTTTTCTTACAATGTAACCAATCACAGTGCATTTGTGAATAGATCCTGACCTCCAAATTGAGGACTGCGATGAAACTGAAAATTGTCTAGGACCACGTTGCCTTGCTGGATAGAATGTGGTGTAAAGAAGGACAAATGGGAGACCACTTCTTTTGCCTTCAGATAGCAAATTGCTGTGAATAGGTGGGAGGCACAGTACATAGTATTTTATTGGGTAAATATGTCTCTTAAAAAATTGTCCTTTAATTTTCCAGAATAATTAGTCCAGAATAATTAGGGAGAAGAGGCTATGACATATAATTAATGATCAGGATCAAACCAGTTATAATTTTAGGAATATATATATATATATATATATATATATATATATATATATATATATGTAATTG